CTACAGGGCAGGGGTCCGGTAGCGGTCGGCAGCCTGTTAGGAACCGGGCCGCACAGCAGGGGATGAGCAGCCGGCAAGCGAGCGAAGCTTCATCTGCCGTTCCCCATCGCTTGCATTACTGTCGGAACCCCCGGGGAAAAATTGTCTTCCACAAAACAGGCCCCTGGTGCCAAAAATGCTGGGGACCGCTGCTATAGGGAAAAAGGTATCAGTATGAGAATACCTGTGCTCTTAATGAAATATGAGGGTAGATCTTTTTTCTCATCGTTGCCTTTGATAATACACCGGTCATGAAAATAAGCCTTGACTTATGCCCCAACAGGATAAACAACATCAAGCCTGATATGAAATGACTACGCTCTTGGCTATCCTTTCTCTCTTTACTTTTCTTGACAAGGTGATAGCTCTATGCGTAGGAGATTTGAGGAGCCGGCCCACTGACAACAAGTTAGCGGTGGTGGAACTAGAAAGAAGTGGAATTTATGGAAATTCTCTGAGGCAATTCAAATGAAATTATTTTTAATTTTTTGAAAGCTGCAGGGGACTTCCCTGGTGGCGCAGTGGTTAAGAATCCACCTGCCAATGCAGAGGACAGGGGTTCGAGCCCTGGTCTGGGAAGATCCCACATGCTGCAGAGCAACTAAGCCCGTGTGCCTCAACTACTGAGCCTGCGCTCTACAGCCCACGAGCCACAACTACTGAGCCCGCGAGCCACAACTACTGAAGCCCGCGTGCCTAGAGCCTGTGCTCCGTAACAAGAGAAGCCACTACAATGAGAAGCCCGCGCACCGCAACGAAGAGTAGCCCCTGCTCGCCACAACTAGAGAAAGCCCGCGTGCAGCATCAAAGACCCAACCCAGCCATAAATAAATAAATACATTTATTTTTTTAAAAAGCTGCAAGGAATGTATGACACTTAGAGGTTTCTTTTTCAGAAGCTTAAACAGAAAAATATCAAGAAATCAATGAAAATAATTTATTTTCCTGGATCTCTCCATCTGAACTGCAGCCCTGAGTCCCAAAACTTCAAGTCTCAGCCGTGCAGGTAACACAGATGATTTCAATAGCTGTAATTCCAGAAGTGTAAGTGCTTTCCATTTCAACTAAAAAATATCCTCCTGGCTTTTCACATTATGTGTTAGATCTCCGAGAGGGAATACTTTACAGGTATCCAGAAGCACTGTTTGGATGGAAATACATCAACCTTATCCTCAGGCTATCCCATTGGCCAATCTGTATGTGTCTTACCAGTCTGAACCAGGGGCTGACTTTAAACTCCGAAAATGTTGGCTGTCTAAGTCCAAGCTGTAGCTCCGCCCACTTTCAGTTTTTGAAGTTACAATTTCTCCTCTGGTCGCTGATCTGAACTTGCTAAGAAGAAATCTGAAATTATATATATATATATATATATATATATATATATATATATTTAAAAGCAAGACAAGAAAGCATTTAAACATATCATTTCAAAAATACCATTTCTTGTACTTTCAACAGTAAATAATTCTTCTTTCAAGCAGACTTGGGGCTGAGAAATTCTGGACAGTCCCCAGGGCTTCTGCAGTAGAGTGTCAAAGGTTCTGGTAGGCTCCCAAGGCTGTACCAGTTGCTGGTAAGCCAGGCCTCTGTCCCTTCTAAGAAGAAGACCATTGACTTTGGGGACTCGCCACTGTCACCTGAGAACTGGAGAAGCAACGCCTGGGCAGAGCCTGTTTACAGGATGCTGAGAAAAGGGAGCTTGAACTCACCTTGCTCAGAGAGGAGAGCTAGGGTGATCCTCTGAGACCAACTGAGGTAGCAACTTATTAGACTGCAGCTCCCTGAGAGCAGCAACTCTGTTCTTCCTGTTTCCTGCTAGGTCCCCTGAGTTTAGAGAGATGCCTGGCACTTACTAGAACCCAGACAATTCTTGTGGAATAAGTGACGGCACCCATGTCCCTGGGGTAATAAGTTTGAACAATGGAATGGCTCATACCAGATGAAAGTTGATCGCATGCACATTTCACTAAATTACTAGGAACTTAAAAAGAGCTTTTCAGAAACCAAGATTCAAGTCACAATCCAGGCTACCAAAGGCCTGAAACATGGATCTTTCCAAATGCACTTGGATTAAAAAACCAAAGCTATATTCTTTTTGTGATGGTATCTGGAGAGACCAGTTCATTCACTTTACAGGCTCCAGTTTTCTCAGGGGGAATAAGTATTCCAGAGGTACTGTGACAATCTTAACAGAATATGCCAAGCTGTTTCTGTTTCAAAGACCACTAGAAGAATGTCTTGTGAAAGTGTCAGAAGCTTCAATCTAACTGGAAAATTACATTTTTGGTGAGAATAGCAGTTAATATAATGTCAATTTATGCTGCTCTGAGAACCACCTTGTACATGTCCTTACCTCTGCAGCGCTGCTTATGGTGTCTCCTCCAGCTGGAATCACTGTTCCTCCTCTTTTGTTATCCTGGCCCCATCCATCTTTTAAAGTCCTCATCAAGTCCCACTTAGAATTTCATGTCTTTCCCAATGGCCCCTGTGCCCTCCCGACATCAATGATCTAAGCCACTTATTTAATATTAAGTGGTAGTCCAGTGGTTAAGAATCTGCTTTCCAATGCAGGGGACATGGGTTCGATCCCTGGTTAGGGAACTAAGATCCCACATGCTGTGGGGCAACTAAGCCAGCACGCTGTAACTACTGAACATGTGAGCCACAACTAGAGAGCTCGTGTGCCACAACTACAGAGCCCACGTGCTCTGGAGCCCACATGCCACCACTAGAGAGACGCCCGGAAGAGCCCGCATGCCGCAACTAAGACCCAGACCCGATGGAGCCAATAAATAAATTAATTAATTAATTAAAAAATTTATTTCCATATTCTATCTCTTGTAGTTAACTCCATGTCTTGTTGTTTTAGAAAGGCTTTCAGGCAGCTCATATTGTCATCTTATGTTTTTCTAAAATCCTTCTGTACAAATTAACGTTTCAGGTGTGGACCTTTGAACCTTTTCTTCCCGACTAGGTGTTATATTCCTTGAAGACAGAAGCATCAGATGCCAGTTTTGAGTTCTAGCAGGGCTCACTGTTGTCTCCTAGCTCCAAGCCCACCATTCTGTAACCCACACAGTGATGCCTGGCCTGGGGTCTGCACACTACAGCTCCTAGAAGCATTTGTGGGCTCTGAGTTTAATTCAATCAGACCACTGATTGTTTTCGATGGGCCAGGCACCATGCTGGATACTGTAGCACAAAAGCAAAAAAGACACTGGGCCAGCACTAAAGGAGCTGACAATTAAACGGGGGTGGTATTGAGCAAGACCAGTTCATTTACTTTACATTCTTGTGTAAGGAGGGGCTCTGTGTCAGAGCGCACCAAGTAACGAGTGACGCATGGGCACAAGGCACTGTGGGAGCCTCGAGGAGTGACAAATGGGTTTAACGTGGTAGGAAGACTCAACACATAGGATGTGTGGTCCCTCTGGGCTATCTTTCCCGTTCATCTCTGCTAATTAACAAAGACATGGTTAGTCATGAGTCTTTGAGTCAAATGACATTTAGGTTTCATGTCTACTCACAGTCCCAGAGTCTTTAAAAAAACAAAACAAAACAGAACAAAATGGACTTTCTGTAGCGACAGATGAAGGCTCAGGCACTGGGCAGCCCCTCACATTGGCTTCTGCTGAGAACGAAGCCACACTACCCAGAAAGAACCATAAAGCCACTTGGTGTAGATTAGGATTCTCACTCCCTCGGCCACGAAACTGGCCACCAGTTGCCTGAGCAATGGAGGCTGCAACAGGCAGGGCTGTAAGGCAACAGTTTGCTTTTTGGGTCCTTATGACCTGCATTTTGGGGGCCAAGTGACTCTCTCTGATGGAACCTTCTCACTCCGAGTTTCCCAGCGCCTCCCTGAATCTTGCGTCCCTGTGTGCCTCCCATTCCTATTCTCAGCACTTGACACATATTTGCTTTCTGAATGAAGTCAGTGAGGTGGGCAAATGATTTCTTCCTTAAGGAGGCCCGCATTTCAAACAGGGGAGACAATGTTTTAAGCCCTATTAATAAATCTCTGATTTGGAGGTTTCAGTTTGCGTCAGCACTCAGGTTGGGTGCGGGGGAGGTATGTTGACCCTACAACAAAGGCAGTTGTCACCTCCTTACAGACAAGACTGGCCCTAGCATGAAACCTTCTACCCAGAAGTAAAGGACCAGATATGTCAAGTGAAAGAAAAACTCTTACAGGTTCAGGTCGGAAGGGACCTTTATCTAAAACTGAAAGTAATTAAAACTGCATTTCCTGAGGAGAATGATAGGAGAATGTTACCTCGGATGAGTCTCTGACCTTCTCTGGGTCACTTAGGTGACGTTAGACTTGAAAAACTAAGGCATCTATTTCACAGGTGACTGGAAGAAAGATCAAAGATTCCCTTGAAGAGGCTGGGTCTTACCCCTTTTTCCTGGGCCCATCATGGCTGGCCTTCCGCCCAGCAGAAAGGGAAGCGTCTGACTTTTCTGTGTTCTGGTGGGTTTGTTCTTGGCTTTGTATTTCTTCAGCTCCTCATGAAAGACAACCAGAAGACAAATTTACATATGAAATGGCCAGAAATGAGAGCAATTTTCTATTCTTCATTCACTTTCCTACATTAGCACAGGACACAGAAGTCTAAAAAATTGGCAGTGATGTTCCCATCCATGTTTCCCGGTCACACACTTATTTCTAATCTGCTGAGTGTTCCACAGTTAAATGAGGACTAAGATTGGGGCTCATCTGTGGGAGTTTTGCTGAGATAAGCTTTCTAGGGGTGACTGCAATGGAGCAACTATACATGATCCCTCTGCAAATATTTCTGGGGAAGGGGAGCCTGGTTCATGAGAACTCCAAATCCCTAGAGACTGAATTCTAGAAACGATACCCTGATTTTTGAGCACATAAGCCAGACTTCCTGGGAGGGCCAACACCTGTGGACACAACTCGTGACTTGAGAGACAGTCTACACTCTGGAAGGTGCTGAGGTTTGAGCGGAGGAAGCAGCCAGAGCTAACTGCGTACTTCTAACTCCACTCTGTCCCACTGTGACATCAGACCTGACGTTACCCACCTGGGAAAGCCCTTCCTTGCTACTGTGACACCCAGAAGTGGCACTGGAATCAGGTCCAAGCCTCCCAGCCCTACCCGCCAGACTTAAACATAAGGGCATTTGTCTCCAGTGTCTGAAAGGGGAGATACCCTAAGAACAGACCAAAAGACACCTGCTCCACCTTTTACTACAGCATACCTGAGAAACATGATCCTAAACACAGGTTCACTCAATATTTAACCAATTAAATTGTAGTCTGAAAGCACAGAGTAATGTTCTCAAGGTGGGGTGTTATTTGCATTTGGTGACAGTATAATTCTTCATTGAGTGAAACCGTCTTGTGCAATTTCAGGCCATTTAGCATCTCTAAATGCCATTAATTCCCCCATAGTCATTGGGACAACCAAAAATGCCCCCTTGCATATCTCAACACTCCCCTAGCTTGATGGAGGGGGGGCACAGTACAAAATATCAGCCCCTGGTTGAGAATCACTGGACGAGAAAAAGTAACATTTAAATGAAATCTGAAATACATCCTGTTGAAAAACCAAGGATTGCTTTCACAACGTGCATCATGTAATTCATCTGTTTTATGTTACTTTCTTAAATGTTTAGTAAAATATTGGAAGTGCATTCAGGAAAAGACCCGTCTGTGATGAAGATAAATGCCTCCCCTGAAAATCTCAGTGTGTCACATATGTGAAAAATCACTGCGGATTTTATTTTCTACCCACTTCCTCTTTCCTTGTATGAATTGCAGATTTAGATTTCATGCCACTGAGTTTTGAAATGACCCAAGGGATTCAGGAAATTCAACTGTTCTCATTTGCTACATAATATAGGGAAGTTATTTAGCCTGCCAAAATGAAGATTGAAACAGTTTTGCTTTAGTTACCTGGACTTCTTAAGATGGACTGTCGGACAACATCAGTGCCCAGAACACTGACGTGCTTGAAACGCTTCGCCTTTTCTTCAAAAAACCATTCACCAGTTACAATCCTTAGCTGCCTACTCAAAAGAAAAGAGGACAGCATTGAAATTCAATTTTTTAGCCAAACAAACTCTCAAAAATCCTTAATTAATTAAGTAAAAAACAGCCTAGAGTTATTTATAGCCTATAGGCTAAAAAACAGCCTAGAGTTATTTATAGAGTCCATCTCAATCTTTGGAGTATATTATGGTGATTACAATGGCCACTATTAGTTGCATACGTACTATGTACCAGGTATCTGCTAACTGCTCTTCATACTCAGTATACTTTTATCCACATAACAAGCCTCTGTAAACATCATTATCCCCATTTTATAGATGAGGAAACTGACACTGAGAGCAATAAAATGATGTGTCTCACATGTAAAGCCAGGATCCCATCCCAAGCAGTCTGGCCTATAACTCAAGTTCTTTTTTTTTTTTACATTTATTTTATCCAAGTATAGTTGATTTATAATGTTGTGTTAATTTCTGCTATACAGTAAAGTGATTCAGTTATACATATATTTATATATATTCTTTCTCATATTCTTTTCCATTGTGGTTTATCACAGGGTATTGGATATAGTTTCCTGTGCTACACAGTAGGACCTTGCTGTTTATCCATTCTATTTATAACAGTTTGCATCTGCTAATCCCAAACTCCCAACCCGTCCCTCCCCCCTCCCTTGGCAACGGCAAGTCTGTTCTCTATGTCTGTGAGTCTGTTTCTGTTTTGTAAATAAGCTCATTTGTGTCATATTTTAGATTCCACATATAAGTGATATCATATGATATTTGTCTTTCTCTGTCTGGCTTACTTCACTTAGTATGATAATCTCTAGATCCATCCACGTTGCTGCAAATGGCACTATTTCATTCCTTTTTATGCTACAGCTCAAATGCTTAACCACTGCATCAGTGGGCAAATAATCTTAAATGACAACGGTGGGCAACAAATAAAGGTTTTGAATTACAAAGGGGCCATGATCAGACTGTTTTCTTTCTTTCTTTCTTTCTTTCTTTCTTTTTGGGGGGGGGGGCCATGATGCACGGCATGCAGGATCTTAGCTCCCTGACCAGGGATAGAACCTGTGCCCCCTGCAGTGGAAGCACGGAGTCTTAATCACTGGACCACCAAGGATGTCCCAATCAGACTCTGTTTTAGCAAGATACCTTGATGTAATATAATGACTGAGTTAGAGTAAAGAGAGAATGGGACAAAGAGACAGGTTGGCCATGGCAACAGTCCAGGAGAGAGACGGCAAAACCCGAGCTAGGGCAATGGCAAGACTAATAGAGAGGAGGAGACAAATTAAAAATGTAGGTGGTAGAAGGACCTGTCTGGGTTTCACAATCAATTGAACGTTGAATGTGGAAAAGAAGGACCTTTGAATAATCACACCCATCTGCAATGGTTACACAAACCTTTATCCCAGTTACACAGACCTATTTACCATTCTCAGAACATGGCCCATGTTCACTTACTGCTTGTCCCAACACCTCTATGGAGGACTGTAATGGAAAATGATGAGGTTGAAAGGTAGGATTGGGTTACATAATGGGAATCTCTGAATGTCAAGTGAAGGAGTTGGAATGCCATTCTGGAAGTGCTAGGGAACTCTGGCAGTTTTTCTAAATTTCAGGTTGAATCACAGCATCTCTGGAGCACTGTAAGGGGGAGAAACCAGAAGCAGGAAGGCCAATGAAGAACTTATTTCAACAGATAGGATAGGAAATGATGAAGATGTGAATCAGGGTATCATGAGGGCAAGAAGTGAAAAGAAAGATAAAGATACTGGGGCCACTATGAAGCAGATAGGTTAGGGGGTCCCTGGAGAAAGGGAACCAGGAATGGCTTTCTTGACATAGAACCCATTTTGGCCTAAGCCATTTTGTGATCTGAGCCTGGCTAAAATACTCGCCCTGGAACAGGTCTCAGTAATTAATCATCTTTTTTTTTTTTTTTTTTTTTAGGGGTACGC